TGCCGGTAAAGATATCACGAGTGAAGAGCGGATGAAACGATTTCGTAAATTGCGAGCTCGCACCGTCCCAAGGCAATGTCCCATTAGTGAAAAAGATATTATATTGCACTTTAGCTTTTTAAGTTACAATTTTTTTTTTTTAATTTTCTGTATTTTTAAATATTTTTTAATTTTATTTAAATATAATAATGCAGGAATATATTAATATTTAAATATAGATAATTATTCGCGTATACATACGACGTTTTTTGCAAGATAATAGCTAAATATCACAACGTAATAATATAAATAATAAATGTGTTGTATATACGGAGAATGTGTGCAATCATCTGGCACCTGGCTTCTCTAATTATGTTACTGATATTGAACTCGAACCATCGGGGGGTGATCGATTAGAACTCGGCGAGAAATTTTTTTGGGCCGATTGGACGCGCGTGCGTATCGAAATGGCAAAATATGAGAATAAGACGTTCGACCCCGGGTAAGAGGGATGTTTCTCTGGTCAACGCGATAGTGGTGACCAGGTGATTATTCGTGACGAATCAACTCCGGTTACGAGTTTTCAAATTCGTCACGTGTCTTTTCCGTTGAGACAGTGACATCTTGTCGAGCTTCCTTTTTCACGGTAGTGAACTACTACGGAGCACGGATAAAACGGATAGGACGAAAGCGTGGAAGGGAAACCTAATCCCTGTACAGGACGACGTTGGCGTAAGCGAGAGAGCAAGAACAGCGAAGAAAAGCGGAGAGATTTACACCGTTACACCCTATTACACATCGCTTCGTTTCCTCTCACAGCCTAAATTCGATCAGTTCCAGATATTATTTATCATAATGTCACAGAGACTACCATGACAGAGCCATGAATTATATCGTTCGTGGTCGTTTCTTTCAGACAAGTCACGTTGTTTGTTCTGAAAACTGACAATGAGAGCGAAGAAGCATTACAGATTGTCGTCTGACAAGAAAGAATGCACGAAGCCGAGGGGGTTTGATCGTTAACTGAACTTGAATATAATGGAAGAAATATTTGTTACATACGCTTCCAATCATTTTCAATAAGTTTGTGTATGGCTAATGAAATTATTCAACCTTAAAAATTCCTCACTATCATTAAGGTATTTTAAATCATGTAATATCTATTTCTCTGTAGGTTTCGACATATTTTCTATTTTTTTTTAAGAGAAAATAATCTTTTTTGATATTTTATTATTAATTTAATATAATTTTTAATATTTCCGTTAATATTTCACGCGATATATTTATTTATATACATTATTTTTATTATAGAGAAGAGAGAGAAGTTTATTCAAGATAATGATCAATTAATTAATTTCTTTTGTTTCGTGCTTAAATAAACGGAAACGTATACTACAACGGCATATACTAATAGAATACCTGATTATGATTACATAGTGCTCGCTGAATCATATTTGTAAGAACGAGGTTAATCGTTCGAGGCGGCGAACGCCCTCGATGAACTCATATTGCGTTGTTGAAAAATTCCTCTTTCGTAGTTCGCGGAAACCAATCCGTTCAATTTTTCTCGGCTTTTACAGATTTTACGATTTTCAAACAATCAGACTGTCGTCCGTAGATAAGCGAGTTGCGTTCTCTCAAGACGCGAAAGAACGCCGTTATCGACACGCGCGCGCACGGAAGAGTGAAACGCAGGGAAAGGAGATAAATGAGGAGCGCGACGAGAGGAAAGATCCAGCGCGAGGGAAAGTATCAGACGGAGGGAAAAAAGCGCGACTCGATGATCCCGGTACTGCGATTGTTTGCCCTCGGCGAGTATGCCGTTCCGCGTACGATAAATAGTTCGACGGCGGCTTTATCAACTCGTTCAAATAGTATGAGCAAGTTGGAGGCGCAGCCAGAATGTGCCCGCAAGGTAAACACGCGCGCACACATTGATGGAGATTCCTTGGTCATGCTCGAGCATTGGTCCGGAATCTGTCCCTGAGGATACGCGGCGATATTCGGGACAGCGGACAGATTTCCAAATATTTCGGGCTCGAAACGTACGGTATTTTGAAACCTTTATAAAACATAGATAATTTCTGTGAAGAAAGAAATGTAGATACTATCATAAATATTTTCAGTTTATAATAACTCTTTTTTATTAATGTTTTATCGAAAATTTCACTTTACATTAATTGCTTGTCTAAATAATTTAAGTCAAATTTTTCTTGATTATTATTTTAGATTTGACAAATATTCAAATCACACAAACGATAAAATAATATTAATTAAATACTATTAAATTATTGCAAAAAAAAATTTAATTATTGCAAAAACGTGTAATATGTAACTGAAATTGTTAATCTATAACAGAGAGAGTATATTTCCAAATGTATATTATACCATACCTTTCTTTACCTATCATATCTTTCAAATCACAGATTATCTGATAAGTTCAATTTGGTAAAAATTGTTTAATATTTAGATAGTTTATGGCTCATGAGAAGAACAGTTGACGCTTCAGTTTCAATGCAATAGAGCAAATATCCGCGATCTCTCTCCGAGCGTCGTTCTAAAGATTGTTCTAAGCGACATCGTCGCGCATCTTTACGAGGGACATTTGCGTCCCGGCTGAAATTCCACGGAGATAAAATCATTAGGAATTATTGCTACTGTCGCGCGCGGTCCGAGTTCCTGTCAGGAGACGCGGAGAACGAGTTATGGTGCAACCACCTACGCGTGGAATTTAAAACGATGTACTGGCGATGGTGGTCTTCTATGACGTGATATCGGCGACGTGATGATTTATGTAGATGTGTCGTAATATAGCCATTAGACATAAGATGATAGCCTGTAATGTCAAATGATAGGCTGCACGTTGAAAATCGCTTACAATGATTCATTACGAACGTTTACGAAGAATGGAAAGATGAATTTATTACTTGCGCTGTGACAGAGATTGTCATTTCAGCAACTCAAGATGTCAACGTAAAGAAAAACGCAACTTGGAAAGAATGGCTATAAAACGGCTATTATTCTTAACAGACGCACAGAAAATTAAGTTGTTTGTCCAAGGATGATAAGCATTATGCAACCGTAAAGATACATTGCGGCTTTATATAAATGAAGTTAATATAATCATTTATTATATATGTTATTATATGTTATACACACATATATACATACATCTATTATTTTAAAGATATGTATTTGAAGATAAATTAAATTAAATTACACATACACATTCTCTCTCAGAGAATATCTCTTTAATCTCGAAATATATATCTTTAAAATAACGGGTATGCGTAAAAGAAATTATACGAATATTAATAAATCCAACAGACATTTAAAATATTTCTTTCGCTTTTATTTTATTCTTGATATCGTTGACGATATTCGGCGAAAATAAGAAAAGACAAAAAGAGAAGCCAAAAACAGGCAGAGGACAGTCTTGTGGAACTCGAAGACCGCGAAGTAACACGGAGCGCCATATAGACCCGCGGGAACGAGGGCGGGCTTGCGGGGCACCGCTTGGAAGCAAACAAGATGTAAAAATCACAGGGGGACCCATTGGGTCGCGGCTCACGTTTTCGCAAGAAACCGTGGCGTGCCGTCGACACATGTAGCCCATCATAGGCCGCGATTTATGGCGGCGTAACGCCGCGGCAAAAAATGCCCGGTGTCGCGCCATATAAGACGTGTCCTGCGCCTCGTGCACCGGACAGGTATTGATTGAATTTATTCTGTAAACGGTCGGATTATGTCGATATTCACGGTACATGGCGAAAATATCCGGGACCTCGTTTCTCTCTCGTTCGGACGAACATAACACTGATAAAGATAAGATTAGAAAAGATTGCGAGTTTTTGGCGAAAAAGATCGAAAATAGGATTATGTCTGTGGATTTATTGATCCACAAAAAGATGTCTACGATTTTAACCGTTGTATATATATGTAACTATATTTGAAATATAATATAATCAGAGTCGGTAAAAAGAGTTTGAAATTTGTTACGGATTAGTGATGTGTATTGTGGAAGTTTTTTGTACCTCTTCTTCCTTTTATGTGCCTTGCAGTTTATTTTGCATTGAAACTCAATTTATAATAGAATCATAAAGACGAAATGCAAATCGCAATGTCATTTCGTGGGATAGGGTACAGGTCCATAACTAATTGCAGAATTTCTTTTGCTGACTGTGCTTGTCCCTTATTAATGCAATATAAAAGAAAAATGAAAAAGGATGGAGAGAAATGATTATAAAGTATAAATTGCATATTATGCTGATTAATTGAAACCATTCTTGTATTAGAAAATTCATATTCCGTTACATCCCAAATTCGATGATCTATATTTTTCAATATTAATTCTATTAAACTAACTTATACACGGATTCATCACCGAAGGTGCAGCTTTTTTTTTTTTTTTTTTTCTTTTGCAAACTGGATAATTTTGGCTGCAATCGTCAGATGTAATCTGGCGGAGGAAGAGACAGCATTGCGCGTCCGATGCAGCGGGGTCTCGTGAGGTTCGCAGTTTACCGAGCAATTAGGCTGCGGAGCTTGCTTTCGCGAGGCACGGTGTGTGCCTCGAAGAGAAGGAAGATGCAGGAGGCACGAGAGGAAGACGCGCGAGGAAGGAGCAGAGGAGGCAAGTGGAGAGAAGAAACGAGACGGAGAACGAGGATGGAAGGCGAGGGTATACCAATGCGGTAGGTGGCTCTTGGCGGCGAAATGATTACAGGCCGCGAACGCACTCACTACCAGCTATAATATCGAGTACAAACGCAACCAAAAGTATCCATCGAGTCTCCGAATCGGGAAAGTATCTCCCCTCGCGCGGGCAGAGAGAGAGAGAGAGAGAGAGAGAGAGAGAGGGAGATATTCAACTCGATACTAATCCTCTCGACTCATTTACATAAGCACAATGATTACGTACGACACTTAAATTTTTTTAAACGTCCAATTCGTGTTAGTTGTGTCGACACAAAAGTTTCGGATCATGCATATTAATTAACATTCACGATTTTTATTGAATCGCTAATTATGCGTTCCACGCAGATATATGAATATATTAAGGATATCTCTTATTCGTGGACACGAAGTTGTTATTAGACATTCCAGCGTAGATTGATATAACTTGTCTTATACTTAATAATATATCCGCGCGCAGAAACGCGAAGAAATTAATCTATCCGTATACCAGAATATCTTTTATTCTCGAGACATGACGAGTACTTAATATTTTCGAATCGGCGATTCGAAATGTATATAGGCATTTCTTTCGTAAGCGCGATAAAAATCTTATAACGTAAAACGAGAATCTCTACGTGATTTTCTATTTCTAGCGCAATGGATACCTGCGATAAAACGTCATGAGCCGGTGACGTGAATGCGGAACCAAGGTATTACGAAACACGCGTGTTCTTTCTACAGCTTTAAAATTTATCTATCTCTAGTCCACACTTTCACGATTTATATTTCCGGCATGATTGCCGACAGTTTGACGCGGCTACGTTAGAACACGGTGCTAATCCGGAAACGACCGTTTAAGCCGGTGTTCGACTGCGAGTTCTTTCCGGATCCCCCTCTGATCTCTCCTCATTCTTGCGACAAGTACGAGAGCGCATTACAGCTCGCTGATAGTAATCTGCGTTTCCCCTGTGCGAGAGCTCGGCAAAGATCAAATCTCGAGGATCTATACGAGGACAAAGGAGATATGAGAAGCGAGAGCGGCAGCGAGAAGAGCGGAAGAAACTGGTCCGCGCTCACACGAGGCGATGAAGACGAGAGGTGAAAGGTCGAGGGCCCGGTCTCTCTCTTGTGGAGGCTACGAGCGATCCTGTAGCTTATTACGGAAAACGCGAGAAGGGCACAGTTTGTATAAACTTAAATCTATCGCTATAATTTATTAAAAAATAATTACAAGTCCTGTTAGTTTTACGTGCAAAAGTAATCAATTATTAATTATTTGATACACATTTTAATTGTGTTATTTCCTTACGTATTCAAGAATTTGTTATTTGCGTGTAAATTTTATTTATACGTTAAATATTCTGTATATAAGTTTTTCATGTGCATCATGTTAACGTGTTATAATGATTTAATTTAATTTTGATAAGGATGACATTACGATCTCTAAACTGCATGACACGTTTTATCTCACGATTCATTTGTAATAATTTTCAATCATGCCTTGACGGAACAATGTATCATGGAACGTAAAAACGGATTCTTTCGTCTGTACCGGCGTTATTATCCGTCAGTGGCTTTCTCGGAGCTTGATTAACACGTCAAGCGTTATGGATACCACATGACGCTCTCGCTTTTTCGCTTACAGGTGTCATATAAATGCCGTACGTTACCGTGACAGCCGTTCAATTTACGGAATTTCTAATGGCTATTGCGCCGCGTCTCTCTGTTCTTTAATGGTCGTAAAGTATAGTAATAACGCACAAGAAGTACGCGTAATTTGGACGTGATATCTCTGACGGGTATGCAAAAATCGGTCTGTGCATGTTGCATTGAATTATGTACGTCGAAACTGAATATATTAAACGCTTTCGTAGAAATCTTATAACCGGATAAAGATTTAACGAATGCAAATTTCATAAATATCGCGCGCATAATATTCATTTCGTAATAATCCATAAAGGACATTCAACAAACGAAGTTAGAAAGCTTATAATAACTGATCGTAAATTTCGCAAAATATATTTTACTTTTGAAATGCATTCTCAAAATATCTTTAGATAATATACTATACTTGATTATTTTTATGTACGCTTGTGGCCTATACGACAAATGCACCGTAGCAATACCGAGTGAATATAATCGGAGGGTGAATCGGAAATAAGAGGGGGGAAGGGCGACAGACAGAGTATTAGTACGGAGGATACACAAATCTCTCTATCTGCAAATAAATACCAGTGTTAGTCGCAGACGTACATGCCGTTATATAACCGTCAATCTGCGTTAGTTACGATCGTCTCGTGTTGCAACATTGCAACGAAACGCATGTCTCGAAACATGCGCGTTAGGCTCGTGAAAATAACACGCAAAAATCTCTCGCTCTCTACCCTTTCTCCTAGCTTCTTTCCCCTCCCCCCTCCCCCCTCCCCTTTCCCCTTATCCCTCCCTTCGGGCCGTGTACTTCTTTTAGTTTTACTAAGTGGCCATATGGGGACATTCGACATAATGGGGTGGGAGCGGCTCGAGCGAAAAAGCTCGGCTTACAATCGCCTCGACGAGATCTAAAAGAGCCGCAGGGGAGCCAGAACTGGTACGAGAAGGTCCATTATCAGGTTGCAAAACATACATCTGGTCGGTGAGGGCACGTGCCCGGGGCCCTCGGACGTAGGGCACGCCCTCCAAGACCCCCCCGGCCCCTTCTCTCCTTTCCTCTTCGCATCTCATCGCCGTGTACCTTCGCCCTTCTAACCCCACGACGACTTCGAGCCTTCGCGCCCCATGCACTCGATCTACGCGATCGTTCGCACTCGAATGAGGTGTTAATGCGCCTTGTCGAAAGCACCGCGGGTGCCTGATCACGGTCTCTTTAATGGTAATAGAATAATATTTATACTTTACGAATGTGTATAGTTGTCTAATATAATTAAGAGTATTTTATTTTTTTTATTGCATTAAAAATGTTTTATATATGTATAAATCTTATGCATCTCTTAAATGAAATCAGCATATATTATTACTGAAAAACAATGAATAATAAATTTTATATATTTAAAAATATATAAAATTATATAAATAATATTTTTTATATTTATAAATATAGCAAATCAGTGAAATTTTACTGAAAGAATCAGTTAATTTAGATTTATGTTAAAATTATTTTTTTTTTGTACAATTTGCATTATAATTTATATGTTACATATTCAAATGTATTTTATACAAATTCATAAATTTAATGAGTAAATTCGTAAAATATTTATCGTATGATTGTGTATATAATCGAGATAACCAATGCAAAGAGTTAGAAGAAATATGATCCATTCGAAGTAACACGCTTTTCGATCAGATAAGAGACCAATGATGTCGTTTTAAATTGGCTCTACATCCGCTGAATCCACAGCTTATCTCAAAGGTATCGTTCGCTCGACGATTATTGCGATGACGCATTGCGATGACGAGATGACGACCTTATTACTTAATCTATCAAGTGTTACGAGACGTATCGAGAGTCTGTGTTGACTTAAGCAAATCGAAAGATTTGTCACTCGCGATCTTAAGAGGGACGCGCGATTAACTCTCTCTCTCTTGTTCCTTTTTTCCCTCTCGTTTCTATCGCGCTGGAACTCGTTTCTAATAAATCTTTATCCAGAGTACCGGTTATCGGGGACAATGAACGATATTTTAAAATATGAAATATGTATATATTTTTATTATTTAAATGTCTTTTTACTTTCGATTTTTCGAAGAGCAAGATAAAGATATCTATTTCTTATTATTTTTCAGCAAAATTTATTTTGATGAAGATTTAAATATGTTCCTTTTGAGGAAAATGATAAAAAAAAAGTGGAATAAAATTTTTAATTGAATTGTCTTAAATAATAATTACATCGATAAATATAATTATCGATGAGTATAATATTTTCATAATAATAGTTCTCATTATTCGAAGTTCTTCTCGCGAGATTACACTTATAAGATTATTAAATTCAATTAATTACGTACCTTTATCGACGATCTTGCCGAAGAGATTTTTCCCTCGAAGAAAATTTTTCGTCGAGCAGTTCCATCGCCGATTGCGAAATTGATGTTGGCATTCGGCGACTGCTTGATTCGCACCTCTGGCCACTGCTTGTAGCACTCCAGGATTTTCTCTAACGAGCCTCCTCTGCTTTCTTCTCAGAGTCGCGTAGACCGAGGAATCCATCAAGGAAGTCGGTGACACCGGCAAAAAATTGTTGGGTTCGTCCGCTTTCGCAATGCCCCTGAAAATGTAAATCGGCGATATATCTCGTATCATTCTTCATATTCTTCAGTTCATTCAAATAGAACTTGTAATAAAGGTCAACATCAACTGGCATATAGACAAATTCTCTATAGAAGCCTAAGCAATCATAAAAAAGAGGAAGAAAATGTAATAAAGACCATAAAATATATAGTCTCTCTTGCAGTAAATAGATTATGCAACTGAAATGAAAGAATACAATAACAATGAAACATAAAAAATATAAATTACGCGAAGAAAAATTAAGTACGAGGCCAAGAAAAAAAAAATAAATTCCAAGAACAGAAAAAAATAAAATAAGACAAAAAGGGACATAAAAATGAAAGCATTTATTAAAGAATTCTTTCTTAAAATTCACCGAAGCGGTTCCAGTTTTGCAGCCATTTAAGTTCATTCACTTTGGACAATTCTTTAAAGTTTTGTTCACATTCCAAAAAGGATTAGGTTCAGTCAACGTCTGAAATACGAGCCTTTCTATAAGCAGACGTGAAGCGTTAAGAATGTTTTCAAATAGGGATCGTGTTAATGAAGAGTTTTCGAGTAAAATTACTCCCGTGATCCAGCAGTACTTGATGTTCCTCTTGTCCTCGGGAGATTCTGATTATATATATATATCCTCGACATGGACGTTAAAGCGCGCATAGTGCGCACGCTTTCATGATATTATCAATTTATATGCAGCCACGTTCGACGGCGGTTAAGCTAACTGCAGTCCGGACTAATGCAAAGAGCTTAATGCAACGCGATCGCTGGTAAATTCGCTTAATGAGACCCTGTACATTCGTTTTGGTGAGCGCTGCGCGCATCGTTATCGTGCGTGTCACGTATTACATGGAAGTAATAATGTAACACACAAGGTATGTACGTACATATCGAGCCATATCGCGCGAATAAATTTTAATTACGCGGCAATACCGCGAACGATAATGCGCATCGTCATCTGCCGCGATTGCATTTGTCCTATCCGGTCTACAACGCGGCAGGTGATCGTGCGATCTGAAAGAAAATAATTTTCGCACGCACGCGTTAAATAAAGATTCAATTTATATTTAATAATTATTTATAAATGTTTTATTTGCCTTATTATGTTTTTTTAATTATTATTCACGTTCAAAAAAAAATGTGACATATTTTGTTATATTATTTTTTATCTATTCATTTGTTATATAAATTGACACGTCTCTCTGATTTGAGAAAAATTAATAATTTTTTCTATCTGCATGTGTGTGTGTGTGTGTGTGTGTGTGTGTGTGTGTGTGTGTGTGTGTGTGTGTGTGTGTGTGTGTGTGTGTGTGTGTTTTTGTGTGTGTGTGTGTGTGTGTGTGTGTGTGTGTGTGTGTGTGTGTGTGTGTGTGTGTGTGTGTGTGTGTGTGTGTGTGTGTGTGTGTGTGTGTGTGTGTGTGTGTGTGTGTGTGTGTGTGTGTGTGTGTGTGTGTGTGTGTGTGTGTGTGTGTGTGTGTGTGTGTGTGTGTGTGTGTGTGTGTGTGTGTGTGTGTGTGTGTGTGTGTGTGTGTGTGTGTGTGTGTGTGTGTGTGTGTGTGTGTGTGTGTGTGTGTGTGTGTGTGTGTGTGTGTGTGTGTGTGTGTGTGTGTGTGTGTGTGTGTGTGTGTGTGTGTGTGTGTGTGTGTGTGTGTGTGTGTGTGTGTGTGTGTGTGTGTGTGTGTGTGTGTGTGTGTGTGTGTGTGTGTGTGTGTGTGTGTGTGTGTGTGTGTGTGTGTGTGTGTGTGTGTGTGTGTGTGTGTGTGTGTGTGTGTGTGTGTGTGTGTGTGTGTGTGTGTGTGTGTGTGTGTGTGTGTGTGTGTGTGTGTGTGTGTGTGTGTGTGTGTGTGTGTGTGTGTGTGTGTGTGTGTGTGTGTGTGTGTGTGTGTGTGTGTGTGTGATTTACAAGTTCATATTTCGGAGCAAAGCAAGCTAAAAAAATTGTGTCTCATTAAATTCATATTTCTAATAAAAATATTGAATAATATTGAGTAAAAAACGTAATAAATAAATTAGATAAACGTAATAAATAAATGTAATAAAAAAATTAGATGATTATATTAATAAATAAATTAGATGATTATATTATATTTATATTCCAAAAATTCTTTGCAAAATATCTGCTTCTACGTGTAATCCTTGGCGTACGATTTAAACGGTGGTTGTCAATGCGAAACGACGATTTCGCGTATAAAAAGGCGCGCTTTCAGGAGAGAACAGGTAGCGCGAGAGAACGAGAAGCGACGAAGGTGGATTAGCACGAAAGACGAAACTGGTTCACCAGTTTCGATCAACGGTAGCTCGTCGTCTGTATGTATATAGGGTGTATCGGAGTTCGTGAATTTGGCGTAGATTTTTGGACGAATTTAAAATTGATTTCTCTGTAAGAGAGATGTATATGATGAGACACCAACTTCTGCGGACAATTCTTTCTTATTTTTAATCGTAAGTATTCTAATAACTAAGATACAAATAACTCCAACCGTTACATTATTTGTTTACGTTCATAAAACATTGAAAACGCTCTTATATAATTTTAATTGCTTATAATCGGAAATTATTAATAGTCCAACATCTATAATATCGATATTTTTCATGAGTCGGCTCTTTGGTCTTGTATATTGCAATTTGGTGAAAGTGTCCAACTTTTGATACACCCTATATATATATATATATATAAATCAAGCTGCCGCAAGAGTCCAGCCTGTAAAAGAATTCGCGTCTCGATCGATCGAGCATCGCGTAGAAAAACGTTTAAATGCGCTCACGGTGTGCCCTTCGTGGGAAGAAGGACGCGCGGTCCTCGAAGAAAGGCTGGACCGCGCAAAATGCATACTGATAAAGCGTAGTAAGAAACGTGTTGTAATCCGCGCTCGAACACGGAACAATCAGAAAGCAGTTCGCAATTGAGGGTGATTTTAATTAATTATTTTATGTATCTTTTATCATAAATTTAATCATCTCCACATTCTCTTCGGAAGCGAATGATTATGAATATACATTATATGTAGCATTACGAATATTCGTGATCCCTTCTCTTCAAAAGCGAATGTAAAATTAACACAAAACTAATAATACCATAAGCACTCTTCACGAGGGAGAAACTTCATGAAGTTCAAACAGGATTGTAAATGTCCATGGTTGATCTGCCCCGCGTGAAAAAGTGCCAAATGCGTCTGATATTTGTTGTTCTTTAACGAAAGACCACTCGCGCGCAACCCTTATTTAAAATAGCTCGCACGCGCTGGGATCGGATCAGTCGTCGCCCGGCATAATAAACAGGTAATCACTGTCGCCGCGGCTCCGTCGACGCTTCGTGGTCTGGGCGGAAATCGAGGCTCTGACAGTAACCGGGCTGTGCGTGGCGCTCACCGCGAAATGACTGTCAGCCACCCGTCTCTCGTTGACACTTCGAGAAGCGGGCTAAACAAACTCGGATCGGTGGTAAACACGTGGGGCCAGATAAAAGGAGACGGAAGATTGTTCCCTGATATTGAGTTGGAAAGTAGTGTTTTACGTATAGGAAGAACTTTAGCACATAATGCAAATGTAACGCGGTAACACAAAATAATGCTGTACCTGAAGAGTCCAGTGAATGAAAGAAATACGTCACTTGGGATAAACAAAGTCGAAGTGTAAGCTGAGATAACGAATACGTCCAGATAGAGAAGATGGAAGACGCAACGTCTCAAAAGAATTACTTCCTCATATCATTTTAATGCAAGAGATGTAAAAAAAATTAAAGATGTATCATACGAAAATGTGTTCTCGCCGATATCTGTACCGTTTAAATTATATTTTATTACGCGCAAAAATAAAGAGAGGATAATAAAATGCGAAATTCGAACGCTATCTTCGAGAGCATCGCGGATCTCGGGTATTGTCAGAATGCGCACATGACGGCCCATCGATTCGTCACGCGCAATCCGCGAACTCGCGCGGCTGATGCGACGTGTAATGCACTTCGTGTATCGGCGACCTGGACGTGCATTCAATAAGCGATATCCATAAATAAGCCACGCCACGGACCGGTTAGGATATATCTATTGCTTGTAATTTACATCGGACTGAAAAGCATAGGGGCGAGATCCCCGTCTCCTCCGCCTTCGCATACTTTCGTCCGCCAGACGATGACCGAGACGAAAATAATTTATTACGCCTGAGATAAAGACAAGAAAAAGGAAAAGGAAATAATAACAATCCCCACAGCTTTGTAATGACGAAAGAACATGTTAAAAATTCGCGCTATTTTCATTGAATTATCGTTAGAATATCTACATATGTTTCAGGTTTGTATTTCTTTCAGAATTACGTGAAATATGCACCAGAAGATTCTTTGTCTCTTCTGAGAAATAAAAATAGAGATGGAAATAGAGATAGAAAATTAATTAAACGATTAGTATTAATTAATGTTTACAGAAACAGCTTTAAATGGACGCACGCTTTGATTTATGCAATAAAAATCTTATACTTTATTACCGAGACTCAATCGATCAAATGATCTAATCAAATGACGAGACTATTGTTTATTTTGTATCAATTCTGTGATGTAACTTATGGGATCATTGCTTATCTTAGATGAGTTCACATTATGATGATGACGCTATTTCAGCATCGAGAGCCTTCGCGCGTGTTATTCGCACCTCTTAAATCGAACGACGCAGTTACGTAGGTAGAGAATATATTAAGCTCACGGGATATATAGAGACAATTTGATTCCTTTAGAAAAGATACAAAAATCGGGCAAAATTTATATATATTGACGTATCATCGAGTATATAGATGATTGTAAATCTTTTTGCTCTCGGTGCAGACGAATGTGTCTAGATCCGCGCTTTTCTTGCCCGAACCAACGTCCGTCTCGGAATAAGCGTGTTTTCCCGCGTGTATCTCAGCGTTCCTTTTCAGCCGTGGAGGAGCGACGTATCCCGACGTATGTCATTTCTAACGTGAGTCCGTCCATATCCAGAACGTCGGTCGCGAATCAGGTCACGAGATGTCATGAATCAGAGACGGAGACTTCACGGAGCTTGTCGACGTCTTTTTCATTCGATCGACCGATTTCTCGTCGTAGTAGAAGCACGACTGTCACTGTTGCGTACATCCCGCTCCTGATTCTCATCCCCGAGAATTGTTCTTGTGTTGATAAATCGACCACACTTGAGATTACCGGTTCGCGACGAAAGCGACAGATACAAAATCGTAGCGATCGTTAGAATCGCGATCGCGGTGAACATGCGGAAAGATGTTGATTTAAAATTCGAAATACGAGTGATTAATGGCGATGCTTCCAGCATCCCGTTTGTGTAGGACGTTGCATGTGACATGTTATCTTGTCCAATGATAACGGAGCATCTATGAACAACTTTATTCTTGCCAATGATGGATAATATATCAGTTGAGGGAAACCGGTCATATTTAAAATTTTCTAGACGCTAATAACGTATTTGAGAAAATCATGAAAATTCACATCAGCATTTTACGTATAAATTTATAATGGAGAAGATTTGCTCGCTCCAAAATATGCACACCCCGAAAACGAAATTGTTTTACTTTTGTAATAAAAAAGTTCCAGGAGCCGTTAATGTTTTACGAAGGAGGTTCAAAAATTTATAAACTTTAATTTCAATTATTCAAGAAAAATTATTTGTATTCCGAAAATGCCACGTTATACTCAAATCATTTGTATAGATTGGATGCAAATGATTTCATGATGTTGTTTGATAAAAATTGCGCAGATACCGCTGAGAATAATTCAAAGTTCAAGCGCGTCTTTTCGCGAAGATAAAAAAACGCGCGAGATTAATTAATTAACGACGATACGCGTGCAAAAATAATAATTCCGCGCGCGACTTAACAAAGACGGAAAAGTCTTTTATGTTGTCGTAATTTTTATTCGCGTCCATAATTAATTGTCATTATTAATGCCAGACGCCCACCCATGTTGCGCGATAACGTACGTTAGATCGGTGCGTATTGACTCTTGGACCGGTCTACAGACCTTGTCATGATTGTACCTGCCAATTGATCGACTCCGACGTGTTGCGGTTCGCGATGAATCAATATAGATAATAGATTCACGACTCTCTCTGCGCTTTCCTTCTTATACAATTAATCCGTCTATTTTCCATTTCGACATTGGTTATTTGAATGTCCATTTCTTATACTATTTCCTATACTTGTTTATCTTACCCCTATTAATTTTCCATTATTTATATATCTTAACACACTGGCCTTTCAATCAATTGTATTTATAGCCAAGACACATAGTTAAAATTAAGTTATTGAGCCAAATACATTATTTTTTACGCATTGAATAGAAAAATTTACGAGAAAAGATTTATTTTTTTTTATAGCTTTGCAAATTTGTGTTTTCTCTTATTTGAGTAATTTTCTAATAATGGCATGAAATAATTTGTTTTGCTTGACAATTTTCAGGAAAAATTAATTGCAGAAATAATCGTAAGGACATATTTTGTTCATTCGGTTCATGAAACTTCTGTAAAGATACATCAGTTACGTACTGATGTTTTCAAAGAAGAATTCTTCTTCTACAATAGATCTATTTCTGTTTACTCTGACAATGCAAGTATCCAGCAGATATACATTGTAAAGAAATTTGAAAAATATGCTACGTGTTTAAAGGGTTTAAAGGTTTTGAAATCTCTTTGAATCGCTGTATTTTTCAAATGTTTGCCAATTAATCATTATAAATCATTAACAACATTCCATCTTGTTTATCTTAAACTTCTCCGATTTCATGTTAAGAAGTATATATACAATTAAGCGATAAATTTCGCGCGATGTGCATCCACAGCGAAGACGAACATATTCGTTTCTTTTCAATTGCGGCGACTAATATATACGTCGCACATATAGTCTGAGCCGGGAATCACGAGGATCACGCGCGGCTTGCGTCGCCGATTTAATTAATTTAGCGGCAATAACCATCGCTGCCGAACCATCGCGCGAGAAACCGGACGAGCCCGTTTGATTTATCGCCAGCAGTTTATCGTTATAGGTAGATATTCGCCGCGGTTGTATCTCGCGGGACAATATACGAGCGCTCGATCTCGCGCGCGAATTTTATTTACGATCGGGCTAATGAAGTTAGTCATTATCTAACACACACATCGCTCGCGCAAGAAACGCGACTCGCGGATCGAAACGAGCGGAGTTAGAATTATGATTAATGAATTAATAACGATACACGGCGCGCTCGCGCGCGGACGGCGTCGCTCCCGCGATTAGCCCGACAAATGTCGGGGCAGACAGGTGTTAATGCGTGCGCTCGCACGAGAGCGAGGCGGAGTAATTAACGCACGTAGGTCGTCGATTCGATTCGAGCGGTGGGTAACATTTTAATTAGAAGAAACGGCCATGCCGCGAGTCCGACGATGGAAGAAAAAAAAATGCGACGCCACGTTGGTTTCGTGAGACATTTATTCATGATGTGTTTCTATATATAGGCGCTGGTAAATGTAATTTCTCTGCGCAATGTTAATTACGTTGAACGCATAGAAAAAATAATGAGAATATAAAAGAGGAATTTATATGTTAAAGTATCTTGATTGTATGTTTTCAGGAAAATATATAAAAGTTTTTTTAATATGGCAATATATGAAAGCCATAAAATTTCTTGGTCAATTGACATTTAGTTCTCAAGGTTTTCGGATTTTTTAAGACACGAATACTCATTGAGAGAGTTATTACTATTTATTAATATAGTATTTATATAAAATCTAAAAAAATCAATCTCGTGAAAAAATAGAATAAGATTCTCGAGAGTTTTTCTTGACAAGAGGATAAAAGCAATTGCGAAACGAGGATCGATGAGGAACAAAAAACGACAGAGTTATCGATTTTCACGCAGGCATAAACTCGTCAAAGATCGAGAGCAGATCCACGTGGGACAGATTCCGCCGGCGTGATTTTTATTTTCGATGATTCAGCGAACTTTATTGCAATCGTGATCTCAATTAACGCTTAAATCGTTAGTTATGATATCATCGTTTATAACAGGAAAAAAGTTTTTATAAGTTCAGTAATCGGATCAATAAAGCAACAATTATCGAAAATTTCCTCGTATTATATATCGAATATTAGAGCTGTAAGATTTTTTTTATGCGCATATTTTCTCAAATACATACGTAGTAAATTGATAACTATTAACTAATTGCTATCAGAATTATGAGAGAATGAATGGCATGAAACTTGAATGAGTTAATAGAAGAATGAAATCTCTCGTAATGGAAAAAAATATTTGTCATTTTCTTAAAAGATTATATTTTGATATATTATAAGCGTAACATTTTAACTTTATTATTTATTGATATTTGGAGTAAAACAAGAAGAAACTAAAAAATTAATATAAAAAATGCAATTTCGAGAGATATTCCCGTTTCTCGCTAGCTCGTTCGATTATATTCAAATTTAAGCGATGATTGTGTCAACAAGTCTATTAACTGTACAATGCAATCGTAATTTATTTCGAGAATCTTCGCACGCTTGTGTCCGTGATAAAAAGTTTTACGACGCGACGTGTTGTTTACAAGCGAGCGTTCGCGGAGGGACAGGACGATAAGAATTTCAAGTATACTGTATTAAAGCGAAAGTCCGGGTTCGCCTTCGATACTCACCACCACATGGATCCCCTGCCGCGACTCTTGTTCCTGGTGATCTCCGCCAACGACATGTACGCCGTCACCGAGAGCACAGCTAGCAGCATCCAGGGCCTCATCTTCCAGGGTGTGTCTCGCGTGTCTCGATCCCTACGAGTATATCCAACGCGTAAAAAAATCCTCCGGTCGTCCTTATCTCACCGCGATCGGGAGCAAGCACCGTGCACCAATTGTATTCACTGAACGAACATCTCGCGCGATACTCGAACCTTGGTCGAACCTGCGAACCGCACTCACGGAATCGTGCGCTCACGATCCCGATGCTAATCGTTCGATCGTCCTTAACACCGCGATCCTTCCGGGGTGTCGCGATAACGATCGCCGCGATCTACCACGTCACTCGCTTGGAATCGACGTTCGGTGAACCGTATCGAAGTTGATCGGCGTTACTGCGCGAGGATATGCACCGTCTTTCTCTCAGCAAACACTTCTGTGCACTGACCTGAAGATCCTCTTGTCCGTTCTGCCTATCGTCGGACCGAGAGCCAATCTTGCGGGTCCTGTCAACGTGTCGATTAGTTCCGGCAAACACTACGACGCTTAAGCTTCTGACTGGTTGTTGAATGCGACTGCCGCTCTGCGTGTGAGCCGGCCAGGGAAATTTCACCCTCCCCGAAGGGCTCTCCGAAGGGTGGGTGTCACCCTTCGAGAGCGTGCGATCGGACGATTAGTGGTGGGAGAGAGAAACGGATGGTACGAGCACAAAATGGCCCGAGAACGTTTTATACCTGCCAACCCCCTCGATGGTATACGCCGGCTGCGAGCTGTTTGGTGAGGATCGGGTCAGGTCAGGTCAGGTAAGGAGAATCATGGATTCGGAAACGTCACCGTAGATCCGAATGATTCTCACCTAATCTCTCTCTCTCTCAGGGGTTACGCGTGCCGCGCTCTGCTCCTTCCGTTCCGTTCATCCGTCGGCCGTACGTGCCAACTCTCTGCTTTCTTGACGGGGAGGTCCTCCGAGTGGTAACGTGTGGTGGCGACGGCGGTGGCGGCGGCGGTGGCGACGATGTAGCGGCGGCAGCGACGGTGGTGCGCGCGCGTGCATGCGTGCCTGCCGCGAGCGTGCGTGCACGCGTGCTCGTATCGGAGTACGACAATGTAAGGGGAGAAAGATGTCCTCTATTTGCCCTTTTCCGTTTCGAGCTCTCTCTTTCTCTTCACCTATCTTTGCGTGTCTCTCTCTCTCTCTCTCTCTTTTTCGTTGTGTCTCTTTCGCTTATGATCTCTCTCCCTCCCTCTCTCTCTGTTCGTTCGTTCGTTTCGCGCTGCTTGGGGGGTATGGTGCAACGAGCTGGAGAACCAATACCCTTCGACGGGCAAGTATAGACCTCGGCTAGCGACTGCATGCGCTCCTCGACAGAAGAGCCGATCTCTCTTCAGAGAGAGAACGGAACCTCTCCCTTCCCCCCTGATGCGTGGAGACCGCTGGACCCCCCCAAGACCAAGATTAAATCTCGCCCCGCCTCTGTCGGTTCGGCCTCTCTACCTCTCTACCCTTCCTCCACCAACGTGCGTTACGATCTCTTCGGATTCTTTCCTCTCGGTGTCATCCTGCTTCCTTCTTTTCCTCGTCAACGTCATCATTCTCTGACTTCGCTCAGCATTCGCTAAAATGTTTCTTTCCCGTTTCTATTCTTCCTTCTGCTTCTCTCTCACGATGCATGCTTTCATCTGCCCTTCGCGATATTTGAAAGAGGCGTGTTGAATCAACTTTCATCATATTAAGAGATAATTCTATGAAACAAAATATAAGCTATGGCTTGTGCCATGCGTGATGCAACAAAGTGATTCCATTAAGTTTCCATTAATACTATAAATTCTATTTTATTTTTATTAATACTACAATTTATTAATACTAAAAATTGTATTGATTTGAAAATATTATTTTACAATATATCGTGTAAAATATGTATGTATGTGCTATTTCTTATAAATTTAATTATTTATGTTTCCATGTAAACAATTTATATTAAAATTTAAAATTTATGTAAAATTTAAAATTTATACAAAATTTAATTTTAACGATAATAGCTATTCTTGATGACAATCTCTTTTCACAATAGAATCATCGGTAACCATATGACGTAAAAACTGCGCCTATATCATCATCGCTCTCATTCTCACGTTCTCGCGGCTGAAACGAGGCTGGCAGTTTCTGACAGACAGAGTTTGTCTGACAGGCGAGCACGTGGCTCTTAAGGGGAGATAGTAGGCGGGTTTTATAAAGACTACGCCCGTTCAAGCCCCCACTAAGAACCCTTGCATTTCTCGCGCAAGGAGTCTGTGTCGTGGTTCCCTACTCCTCCGTCGTCCGTTTTGTCTCCCTTCCACCCTCTTTGTCCACCGCGCTCACCCGGTCCCACTACCTTTTTTTTCCTCTTTTTTTTCATTCAGCTCTTCCCTCACTCTATGGCCCCAGTAGTTTCTTCCTTCTCTTGCGCATTACGCCTGGCCGGTCGTGTCTCTTTCCTTGGGAATGCGTGAATCGAGAGGTGGAGGTGTGCAGGCGCGCGTGTGTGTGGGAACGCATCGCGGAATGCGGGACAGCGTAGCTATGGAACTACCAGCGAAGCTTTCCCCCTCCCGCCTTCATCGCCTTGAATCCTAAAGGACTCTGCGTGATGTCGTCCACATCAGGATTTTCTTTTGGTTAGCTGTTTAACGAATCTTTATTATAGTTTATCATAAATTTATTTTCGTACATATGTAATAATATACATATATATCAAATGCTTTGATTTAACAATTTGATCAGAAAAAATATAGATAGATTTTCTGTATTAAAAGTTAAAAGGAATTTTACTCTCATAAAAGATATTGGTTTTGTTATATAAAAAGATTTGTCTTTTCAGATAAATGATATCTTTTCGAAAAATCGAATGTTTCAGCAATGAGCTAAAACATGATCGGTCGAATCTTTAAATGAAAGTTGAAAACATTATAGTCATTAAAATTGATTAAACTTAAATCATTGTATAATATAATGTTGGCTTTACGAATTCTTCACGAAAATTATCGTTATCACCGCTGCTACGTAAATATTGACGGACGCGCAACAAATGTTAAGCATGATTAAACGTTTGCACATCAATCTGCGTCAACAAATTCATTTATCTCCATGCGATAAGGGAGAGAAAGCGACCGATGTCGACTGTATCGCTTTCATACCTATACTAATAATAAGAACAAAGCGATGAGAAAACCATAGCAAATGCATTTCTCTTCTCACAAATGATAAACTTGACAAGTATATGATAAAATTTGTATGTCTGCCCTTTCACCGAATAATTTAATAGTGAAGCGAAAGTCTTATAGACATAAGAAGCGTAGATCACTCATGTAAGCGAATCAGCAATAAAAGAAATAATGATATTTAATGTACTTTATCTTTCTCTTTTTCTTTTGTCAAAAGTAGAGGAAATAAAAAGGAAAGAGATAGTAAGCTTTATTAAATAATCCTACTCTTTTCACTCGAGCAGTTTATCCACTTATGGTAAAGATATGATAAGAGCAGTCTATGCTTCCTATGTCTATGGGTGAATTGCGTGATGTATGCGATATTGCGAGGCAATAACGAGGTGAGATGCGAGATTGATAGAACCGAAATGCGTGTGCGTCCCGACTGATTACGCGCAATGACTTTAATTGCATTTTGATCGACACGGAGCTATATACTTGATAAGTTGCTCGTTAACAGAAAAGAGACGCTTGAATATATTCGTGTTCTAACATCAATATGAGCGATGAGATCCGAAGCGCAATTATGCGCGGAGTACTTTAATGTTTTATAATGTCAACTTTATACTTTTTTATACAAAGATAAAAAAATGGAATTCACAATTACATGTGTTTTTGCATGCTGCTGGAAAAGAATAGAGAAAAATCAGAAATAAAAGAAAGCAGTAATATCAGAAATACATCTAACGATAGTAATTAAAATCCTTTATCACATGACTTTATTAAATGTTTCCAAAATTCGTGGAACATTTGAAAAAAACATTTTCTCGGCAATTTTCTAATTTTGCGATTTATTTTGTCATTGTATCGAGTACAATAAGTATTACAATGAAACTTGCACATTCAAACGAAAAAAAAAAAAAAATAAAAAAAGTGTGTATATAACTTTTATTGTATTATATATTAAGAGATTATATATAATTCGCCTGCTTTTTCGTAAAATATTTCTGCGATGTGATGAAATTGGAAAATATTTATTAGAGAGAGACAATTTTCACTTTTCAAAGACGAGTTTTTTTTCAATCTAGAGACAGACGATGCTAATCCGCTTCTCAATGTTTCAGCGGTAACGAGGAAAGGAGCGTCATTATTTACCGAGCAGAAGGCGAGGCGGTTTATCGTTAGCCAGCAAAATCCGAGGCAATTACGCTCGGAATGTTCAGCTGCATCGCCGAGAAGATGCGATTGCACGTTTCGCCTGAAGCTCGAAAACGCACTATTGTTCGCGTCTTTCATTTAGTTTTTGTTTTACTATCGAATAATTATTGAAACGTGTTTTAAAATATTCTCAAGTTTGTTTGAATTCGAATTTCTAATTTCGAAATTTTTAATATATACATTGCTCATAATTTTTATTATTTTTATCAGGAATTCACTCGTTTTTCTCCCTAAGTGCCCTTATTGCGCGTGCACGTCGAAAAATTTATCATTATAAATAAAATTTCTACGTTCGCACCTAGAGTCTAATCCAGTCCTAATTGCTGCGAATAACTCGCATGATCATGCTCTTGCCGATGTCTGTCTGCGTTTCTTCACGCCTCCGCGCGCGAGTGTAAGCAGAAATAATCGTTCTCGCCTGTAAGTCACGGACGAGTGAGTCGTTACTATGTATGATCGCCGAGAGCGAGGACGTGGACTCGCGTGATGGACAGCCTGTCTGTACCGTACTTAAGCCGACGCTTATGATAATTACTTAATGCCGCTCTCTAAGTTGCACGCACGTATAAATGCGCGCGAATACGCCGCGCGGCTTCTACGAATCTACAACCAATACCAGCCGCAAACCTTTACCGACGACTAAACGAAGCGCCCGGATAAACGTGGTGCCTGGTCTGGTATTAGCGTTACATTCTCGTGCCATATCTATTTTACGAAGGTAATTCTGTGTTTCTGGTGATGATTGAAAATAGAATTGGCCG